CCGAGCATTAATGTAGCAACAAACAACTATTATTATTGTGAAGAGATAAATGAGTAATGTCTGAGCAGAGAAGGAAGTCTCTCTCTCTCTCTCTGTGTGTTGTAATCAGAGTGCTTTGTTTAAATAGCCGGGCCGGCCTTTTAGAGCATGCTAGTGCATGTTAGCGTGGTTAGCTAACGACCACCGCTCTGCACTGCACTCATACAGCTGATAACGCCGCCTCGACCCACAGAGTCTTCATGGAAGCGTAGCATCCATCCCCCTCAGGGTAAACACTGTTAGCTCTGTTAGCACTTTCACCGTAGTTAGCACCGTTAGCTGCTAGCACAGCCGTCGCCATGTTGAGAGCCGTATGGAGCCAACACTGTACCTTGATCATAACCAGAATACAAGTGTGCATGTAATCCATAGACTGTGTATAACAAGTGGACGAAAGTTGTGTTTCTGTTCGTCGTGTCACAAAAGCGACGAGGATTAAGACGCCTGACTGTATTGTCCAGGCCTGTTTTTACTACTCGATCTACGTCTCCACAACGAAGGAGTTCAGCCCCACCACCTTATTAGGTATAAGCAGTGACTGGTGGCCGTTGTTCCAAGCAGAAAACAGACCAGCACGTCTGCACGAACATCTCACCTAAACAGACTACAGTTTCAAATAAATAACCACTGACAATCATAACAAACGCCTGGTGTTTGTTTGAGAGTTATTACTCTCAATTACACTGCTAGAAACGTCTTCGTTTTTACTACAAATGTATATCAGCTTGATCTCGGGTTGTTATTGTTATTTTGTAAAATTAAAGAGATTTTAAAAGCCTGAGAGATTTGAAACAGAAGTAAAACAAAATTTGTGACAACAAACAAAATTCTGACCATGCCAATATACTGTACTTTACCACGAACCCTGCTATTATGTTCCAGCAGCAACAATAACTTCATTTATGTCTCCATACATGGTCGCATCAGCAGCGCTGTCTGTAATTACTGTTTACTGCAACCTCGGCTCCATTTATGGTGAACCGTCTTGATCTGGTGGTGAGCAGCGAGTCTGTAATCTCAAGGATTTGCAGGCTGCTCATGAAATTATGATCATGGGTGAGAGGATTATTTAATTCCTGATTCGCAGTAAGGTCAGGATTTCACACACCGGTGAGTGGGCCTCGGCTTTAAATAGGAGCTTGACGGTAAGCGGGACAGTCAGAGACAGAAGAAATGTTGAATCAAGACACTTCTGACTGCAGGTGTTGAGGAAATCAAGGTTCTCCCGGTTCCTTTTTCTTTGTTTTCCTCTTGGGGATTTAGGAGGTGCAGTTTATTGTTCAAAAATGAAAATTACTCTCGGCACCGCATGTGTTACTTTTAATAATATCAACATTCAAGTTCGACCACAACTCTGTTATTATGGCTGTTATGCATAAAAGCTCAATGTGGATGCTCACACACTTGATTAACGTGATCCAAAAATGTATTAGATCTTATTAAAATGTTTATTAGGTCCAGTTCTAAATGAGTTTCAAGGCTACACACCTGCTTCTAGTTCATATATTAGAACAACAACAACATTCTGCAGCAATAATAACTTTTATTAACGTGTTTTATAATGATGGGACGGATGAAGATGACATTAAAAAACATGGTAAGATATCGAGAAAGAAACAGACGACCAGAGATCTTCTCCGTCAGTTGTCTGCCAGATAAAATGGACCCAAAGGCCCCGGTGCTGTATCATTACAACACAATCACACATTAAATAAACACATTAAGCACAATTATTAGCTAACGAGGAAACGCCAGCTCTTGAATTTTCACTGGCTGGAGTTCAACATAACGTCTCCTAAACCATCATGGACTTTTTCTGTGAGGCTTCAACTCTCGAGATCAGTTACGGGATCAGGATCAAGGGCTTCTCGTGTCATGTTTAGCCTCGTATGCTAACTGGTGTTTTTCCCCCTCTGGGGACTGAGATGGGGAGATGATTGCACTGGTATAACCCCCCCCCCCCTCCCACTTTTCTCTCTTTGCTTCCTCCTCTATCTCCTCCTCCTGCTCCTCCTCCAGCGCTCGCAGGATAACATACCGCCTTGCCTCTTGTTTGGATAAGTTAATGCTGAGATGTCAGCCTCGGATCTGATGTATACCACCTGCCTTGGCCTCCGGCTGACCTCGTACTCCAGCTCCCACTGCAGAGACATTCCAGTGCTTCTAGGGGGGGGGGGGGGACTGTGTTTACACTGCAACAGATTGCCTTGCTCTCTCTCTCCCTCTATCTGCTTCATCACGGTGGACAGTAGAGGGCCTCTACATCTACTCCATGCTCGTGTCGCATGCAAAGTCAACTGTAAAGGAAGCGTTAAAGAGCATCAACATGATGTTTTGGACATTAAATTCTGACAATATCCTAATTCCCAGCAGACTGGACATCTTTTAGGCTCGGGCCTCAGGAGGGGAGGAGGCCCGGGGCCGAGCGGCTCCGGTCATCCAGATGCAGAGATCCTCCCACTCGACCCTGTGAGGAGCTCATGTGAACACCGTGACCTCACTGCGTCACGCCCTTTAAATGAATCAGCGCTGTTGATTTACAGTTTTAAGTGCCGGTTTTTACGCCATCAAGCGATTTCACGACAACACGGAATAAAATCAAGAGCGTTCTGCTTGAGTTTGTGGTGCGGTGACCGTGATTGTTTGGTGTGAAGTGATCATAATTTAGTTTATTTACTCTTTGACTCAGACTTTTTTCTCGTCTTGACGTTCATATAAAATCAAACATGCTAATTGTTTTGACAAGTGACCCTTCAGGATCCCAAGTCTTTGCAATGTTTTATAGTCTGTGACCAATTTGAACATTGAACATGAGTTTAACTGACATCCACCACTTTGTCAAATCGGTGAACAAGCAAATATTAACTATTTTTATCCCCAACTTCCCAAACGTTCTTATTGGATCATTATCTGTAGATACTTTTTTATATTTGGCCGTTTTGAGATTGTTGAATTAGTTTCCTGCCGTCAGTTTATTGTGAACCAAGCTCGCTTTAAACCAACGCTAACTGTTTGAGGTTCAGTAACTCTTCAAATTAATTTTTTCCGTGACTTGACATTCCCATAAAATCAAATATGTCAAATGTTTTTGACAAGTGACCCTGTAAGATCCGCAGTCTTTGCTTAATCTTACAGTCGGTGACTAATGGACAGACACGTTTCATTTAACATTTGTCCAATTTAAAAACAATGAGTGAGTTGTGACATAACTGACAATAAATCTAAAACAATACAAAATGATGAACGCGGGGAGACTTCTGGAATATTCCTTTTAGAAAAGCACGGTGTGCAAAGAAGACGGGCACATGATCTTACATGTTTGCCCTCACAGTGGCCATGTCATTACAGCACATGCTCCAGCATTACCAACAGCTGGTACCAATGCAGTCATGACCACCTACATAGATGTAGTATGTCCCAAAACATTACATGTCAAAGGCAGTGCGCCAGAAATACCAGGATGTCCAACAACATCCGGTCGCATTTTACAGTACGCAAGCTTTTCTGGCCATTCTGACCCACAGTTCAAGGCCCCATGTTATGACACATTAGTATCTCCCTGGTTGAAAGCATACAGCATGCAACAGTACATACTTTGTAAGGACATCTCGTACTAAAAGTAAAAAGAAAGTTAGTGATTTGGAACGCAGCCTCGATTCTCACATTCACCACCTGCTGTTTGACTCAACAAAACTCCCCAAATGACATTTGACTCACTGTCTCCAACACTGCTTGAATATGCAAAACCCTGTGAAAGAATAACCATCGCACCACTTAACAGATCTATGTACAACTACAGTGTGTATATTGGTATTAAAAAAGGACAAAAGACATTTGATGTATTCAAGTCACAAAATATAGTTGTATGTTTAGTATTTATTGTTTAGATCCACTGTAACTACGGCATTAAACCAATATCATGGTGCGAGCTGTGCATTTTTGGGGATTAAATAGCACCTCTTTTTATGACTCATGCCAGAAGAAATGTCCTCAGTGAACACTATCGCCTTCAAGTGGTGAACAGAAGAAATAACACTTTAAAGTGAATCATTAGGTATATCAGACATACTGTACATTATCTCTCTTTGAATATTATGATTTATACCAAAACTAAATGAATAATCTCAGTTCTATTATTTTCCCTTTTTGTCTGGAAACATGGCTTCTATTTTTCTTTGAAGTGTTTAATTATTTTGCTTTAACACAATAACTCTCTTACTGAACTCAAAGACATAGAAACTAAAACTATCCAAAGTTCTGGGACTGACTGCATGTCTGTTTCAACACGTTACTGTTCCTGTTTAGCTTCTCTGAGATTTTGATGTTTGAGAGCAAAGTTTCACTTCGTCGTTCACAACAAATGTAACTCTTTGACCTGTTAAACTCAGTTTAAAGTACTTTTAACTTTAGTTTCTTTGTAAAATTCACATTTGTGGTGCCGCTTACATTTTTGGAAATACAGAATCATGTTTATATGATTTTTTTAAAAAGCTGGAGGCTGAGCGTGACATTTATTAGGAAACAAATCTTTTGAAGTTAGAGATTTAAATATATTTTTTTAATGCATCGAGTAAAATTACAAAAGCAAAACATTTCTTGCTCTTTAGAGTCACCAAACATGTTCACCACAGGACCGACGGTTCCATCATGTGGTGAGATATATATATATATATATATATATATATATATATAACTTTTCAATGGCATGCTTTAAGACCACATATGTGCCAACTGTTAAGTGATATTAAACTTGTAGGATCAGTAAAGAAGAATACATTTTGGGGACTGAAGTTTATGTTAGTTGAATTATTTCATCCCTCCCATTTATATTTGAGAACAGCTGTTTAAAGAGTGTTTGTTGTTTTTAAAACTGCTTTTCACTTCCTGTGTAAAATTTGTTTTGAAAAAGTTTGAAATAAAAACTCTTCCTCTTGTGACAAGGATACAGACAACACGTCATCAGTTTCCAAACTTTTAATGTAAAAGACAAAACAAATGCAGGATTTGGTGACGGGAGGGAAAGAACAACTCTGATTTTGCTCATTTGTCCTTCTCCCTCTGCTCCTTCTCCTTCTTCTCCTTCTTCTCCTTCTCAGACTTGGCCTCCTCGGCCTCGTGCCGCTTGATGAGTTCCTCAACTTCCTTCTGCTTCAGCACTTTGATTTTGGTTTTCCCGTCTTCTCGTGTCAGAATGGCAATTTCCACTGAAACGGTTAAAAACAACTTTGTGTTATTTTAACATCAAACATCTACACACTAGAAGATCTTCAGCAACATGCAGTAATAACACATTCTGGTGTTTATTACAGAGTGACTGTTATAGTACGAAGAGTTGAGAGCCCTCACTAACTTGACTGGTTTAAGTTATTCTGTTGTACTACTGCTGTACTACTGTTGTACTGTACTCTCTGCAGTACAAACATTTGATTATCTTAACTACAATTTACTTCAGTTATGAAATAAATCCACGACATAACCATTTTATGTTTCACGTCTCGTACCAGTTCAGGTAAAGGGTTTCTATGACACAGTGTTTAAATTGAATAGATCCGGTATCGGTGCGTCCCTTTCCTGCGCTAACACATTTCCTCCGGAGCTCGTGAAGCTCATGAGCTGCTCATATTTAGGAGTTTTGAATGTCACCTTTCTCCGCTGACAGCTTGCTGACGTCCATCGTCTTGTTGAGGACTTTGACGGCCAGAGCCAGAGCCGAGGACAGACTCATCTCACCCTCTTTGATGTCCTGCTTCAGCATGGACACGGCAGACTGAGGGCCAAGAGGTCAACACGTCAAACAATAGAGCGTAAGAGTATGGTAGCAATTACAATATAGATATATAAATAGTGCCGTTTGTACAAGAGAGTTGGTTCGTCTTCCTTATACAACCGTACAGTAGAATTGAACACTGGTGCATTTTTCATTATAAGTCCATTTTACACAGGATCTGGATTTCCATGGGAATATTCCAGTAAAATAAAGGTTTTAATATAATAAAACAAAACAATTTCAAACTTACAGCGCTGTTGTTGCCAATACAGGTTGCCTTCCAGCCTCCATAGTTGCCACTTGGGTCACTCTGGTACAACTGGAAGCCGTGGTGTTTGTCCCAGCCCATGTAGAGCAGAGAAACACCAAACGGCCTCTTCCCTGTCAAGACAGACCACACGGCTGTTACAGAAAGTCTAAATCCACCTCTGTTTCTACACACAGATGAGAGTTATTGTAGCTTGTTCACTAATATGACATTTTAACAGGAGTTGTAGATGTTACTAGACACGGAAACTACTGTGCAACTCACCTCCAAACTGTGTGTACGCTTGTTTGATGTCACACAGGGCCGTCACCAACTGCTCGCAGGGTATTGGCTCCTGGTACTGCAACAAATACCTGAAGAAGAAACGGACAAATAGGTAGAAACTGAAGCATGCTCATTGAACAAAGTTCATGAAGAATACCGTTCAACAGGTTAGTAGTTGGGACATCATTTTAGTCCCTCTGAAACTCACCTCTGTGCAATCAGCCGTAGCTCATTTGTCAGGACATTAGCATCAGATGTGATCCCAGCAACACTGCAGGCCAAGTCACTGTAAAAGAAAACCACACAAGAGATCAACGTTAAAGGTATTTCATGGTAAGAATGGGCTACATCCTGGGTGTTGAAGAGTCCTCGATTCACTCACTCATTGAGCTTGTAGATCTTCTCAGAGAAGAAAACCTCGTCGAGCAGTTTGTGGATGTTGCGCCTCTCTGCTGCTAACAGCACTCCATCATTGGCCAGAATCCCCAGACAAGTTCCAGCGTGACCGATGGCCTCCATCGCATACTCCACCTGATAGAGGCGTCCTGCAAAACATAGTCACAGAAGTATTGTGATATTATGTATTGACATGGCTGGATATAACTGCAACCGTGTATATCTAAAGCACAAGTCGCCGATGGAAGAAGCGAAGTAGCTGGACAAGATAACAGTCATTTAAGGTCCATTCACTATCTTTTCTTAGAGCACTGATCAGCTCAAACAACTTGAAATTTGAGTCAAGATTTGGCTTGTTTTGGCAAACACCAAAATATCTACCATGTCAACAGACGCCACATTCATAGAAGACATTGCATGATGTAATGCACACGAGATATAAGATTTGCAATGTAATGAATTGGTTCATTAATAATGTAAAAAACTCAAAAAAAAGTGGTAAAAAAAAAAGACAAGACTTGCCTTCTGGAGAAAATATGGTTGTTCTGGAATCATATCTACGAGACTAAATAAAGATAAAAACAGATATTAGCTGACAGAAACGAGCAGGAGCATCCTATGAACATACATGATATTTGAGACGAGTACAACTACTTACCATCTTTTAACCGTCGCTCAAACTGTCCTGCAAAACAAAACAAAAGTTATAAATTCATGTAGCAAACCAGCAGAAACCAAAGAATAAGAACGTTTCTGGTCAATTGGACACGGAAATGAATATGCTAACTCACAACAACAGTACGTATGGTTTACGACCCACTTTTGACTCTGTACATGACAGCTAAAGCTAGCAGCTAAGCTAACTGCTGCTGAACAGAATGAAACTGCAATATCTGAGCATGCTAGTTCGTTAGCATGCTAGCCACGGAGCTAGCTCATAATAAAGACAGTTCCTGTGACTGGACACAAACTGTACTTACACTCCAATATAGCGGTGGAATAAGACAATACTTTAGTGAATTATAAAATATGAATACATTACCTTACGTGAAAATAGGTCTAAGTTAGCGTAGTTTTAACTAAGTTACTACTTTCAGTTTGATGCTCCTCAAACAGACCGGTATGACCCGCCCTACTCTGCCTCTGATTGGCTAATACTCATTGCGCTCTTCTTCTTCTTGTTTGAGGTTTATTGGCGGTTGGCAAACAATGAATTAGTGCATTACCGCCACCAACTGGTATGGAGTGTGGATCAGGATGTCTAATAGGCTACTACTTATATACAAATTTAAATTCAAAAGGAAAAGAAAAACAAAACAACAAGCTCATATTTTCTTAATAATATTAATTAATCTAAGATATTGAAATAATATTTGATAACACTCACTTTTTGAGTTATTTTGCAGAATATCCACTATATCCAACCATACCTTCATCTTGCCGAGGTCTCCAATCAGCTTCCCTCTTTCCTGCTCATATTTCTGACATTGTACAATTACATGCTCTATTATTTCATTTTGCTCACAATAGTCACATTTCCCTGTTTACCTATTTTTCTAAGCATACTGTTTAGGCCTGTATGTCCAAATCTAAGCCTTGATATTACCGTTTCCTCTCTCCTGTTCCTTCCTGCATTCCTACTGTCATTTCTCCCACTTTCCTCTGAACTCGGTAAAACCACTCGTTGCTCTCATTGGTGGTACAACGACGACTTCGACTTCTTCGACTTCTTCTTCTTCTTCTTCTATTTAATTGGCGGATAACAATAATAATAATAATAGTAATAATAATATGGTTGGATTGGTTTGGGTTCAACCCACAGTTTATGCGTATGGAGCGGTTAGAAACGATATAACCCTGACCTGTAGGGGGCAGCAATGTGCAGGGAAGCATTCAGCATACCGTATTTTGAAAAGAAGAAGAAGCAGCTCTGCTATTGTGTCATTGGTTGTTTGACCAACATACCGTTTGAATGAGAACTAGCAAGAAGGTAGCTAACTCGTACGTCGTTACATATAAACATATATAAGCAACTGAATACGATACTCAGAATTGTATATTTTTTAATCGGCTGATTGACATGATTTTCAAAGTCTGACATACATTACGCACGTGACCTTGTAATAAACATCTGTCCGAAAAGGTAAGCGCTTGCTAATCACACCGATGCTAATGCTACATAACCTCAGAGCTAGCTCGGTGTTAGCTATCACAAGCTTTAGCCACACTAGCATGTTGACAATAGCCACATTTTTTTTAATGAAAACACCCGGTGTTATCGTTGTATTTGACTCACTTTGTTTTGGTTTTATATGAAGTGTTATTAGCTACACATCAGCTCCGGAACACGTCATCCTCTGTCCCCGGTGTGGCCACTGGGGCTCAAGTACAAACTGGTGTCGCTAAGGTGTTTAGCTACTGGGAGACCAGTAAAGCGATATCTGTAATAGGACGGTCACAACACCGACATGGCCGATTGGATCATTGGAATCAGTTAGCTTTAGCCTTCTTGCAGCATGACCTTTGAACTCTTACACAACGATAACTGGAGATCAATAGTATTTGCTCAAGGAGAAGACAATGTCAGGCCATGCTGCAGGAGTGGTTGGTAGACAGCAGGGGTCGAGCGATAGCAGGAGGTATAAATGAAGAGGATATCATCTGTCAGAGAGTTGTCAATACCTTGTGATACTAGTAATTATCATTTCAATGTCAGTGTTGCAAATCAATGACAACATTGGATTTGTTGTATGATGTTTGCAGTAATGCAATGAATCCACCAGCCAGTATGCAAGTAGCAAATTTGACTTTCATTGCTGTGAATGAGTGTTTCAAAACACGTTTTAAACAGAAGTAATTACATTTTACTTTAGCGGTATTTAGGTCAAGTTGTCAAACTACAATTTCCAAGGTCAACAATGAACTTCCACTTTTAGTAAATAAATAAAGTAGTTTCCTGACCGTACTGTTGTGTATGCAGGAATCAGTCTGATGTGGGGGCACCTCCAGCTGTCAGGATGCAGCAGAAAAGGAACATCCAGATCATCGAGTGGGAGGACCTCGACAAAAGGAAGTTCTACTCCTTCGGGGTGTTCATGACGATGACCATCCGGGCCACCGTCTACCCGGCCACGCTCATCCGCACTCTGCTGCAGGTGCAGAGGGGCACATCCCTCTACGGCGGCACCTTTGACGCCTTCTTCAAGATTCTGCGGGCGGAGGGCGTCCGGGGCCTTTATCGCGGCTTCATGGTCAACACCTTGACGCTCATCTCAGGCCAGGCTTACATAACCACCTACGAGCTGGTGAGGAAGTACGTCTCCCAGTATTCTGAGGACAACACGGTCAAGTCACTGGTGGCGGGCGGCTCGGCCTCGCTGGTGGCTCAGAGCATCACCGTTCCGATAGATGTGGTCTCTCAGCAGCTCATGATGCAGGGCCAAGGGCAGCAACTCACGCGCTTTCGTCTCAATTCCAACGCAGAGGCAGCAAAGTCCAAGAAAGTGTTCGGCCAAACCAGGAACATTATGGCTCAGATTTTTGCTGCTGATGGTTTCCGGGGCTTCTACAGGGGATATGTTGCTTCTCTCCTCACTTACATCCCAAACAGTGCTGTCTGGTGGCCTTTCTATCATTTTTATGCAGGTAAATGGCTGAAACACATGTTTTCTAAACTTCAAAGCACAAAAAAAAGCACCATTTGCTCCGTTAAAGTTGTGTTTGGCCATGTCTTCAGTGTGTCAGTCTGTGTTCCCAGTGCATCTATACATCTACAGGGAGAAAGACTCACCAGTCCTTGTCTTGTGGTTAATCGAGTGTCTTTAATGTTCTACAGAGCAACTCTCCAAACTGGCTCCCAGTGACTGCCCTCATCTGCTTCTACAAGCCGTGGCCGGACCTCTAGCAGCTGCTACTGCCTCAACTGTCACCAACCCAATGGATGTGGTCAGAGCCAGAGTGCAGGTATTCACTGTGCGTCCATCAGGCAGAGTGTGGGGCCGCTGGCAGCTTACAGATCAGTGACATCTAGTTTCTGCTGCCAAGAGCATCAAAAAGCTGGCAGAAAATCACCTTAAAGCACAGAGTCTGTGTTTGGTCAGATGTTTCTCAATAGCTGAAGCTACAAATGTTAATAATTAGTCAGCTTTCTTAGTAAGTGTGTATAATAAGTGACTGTATCCCTCTTCTTTAATTTGCGTATCAGGGAAGGTTTTCCTGTCCGGGGAAAGAAAGCAAAAGTTGTGCCGTAGTGACTGGTTCTGCATAATCGAACAGTTCACTAAGTTGCTCCTTCAATAAAGAGTCAACAGCCAAAATTAATAGATATTGAGTGAAGTATTAATTGATAGAATTAATGTACAAAAGCGAGGCTCAGGCTGAAGGTTGAACATGAACATACTTCGCCTCAGTCGTCTGAAATGTTAACACACATATTTTAGTCCTACATGTGTAAAAGTTATGTGTATCTCAAGACGGCTGTAATCTTCATTACTCCTGCTGAAAATAACCAATATTGTGCATGTTGTTATCACAAAATTAGACATATTGTATATAAAAAATGTATCAGAATTAATTGAAATAACTCAATGTATGTCGTCATGCCCAATGCTAGGTTGTGGTACAGTATAACTACTGTAAGATACTGTATGTTTGTTTGTTTAGGTTGAAGGGAGGTCTTCAGTCATCGAGACCTTCAGGCAGCTGATCAGAGAGGAGGGCTGCTGGGGGATGACCAAAGGACTGTCGGCGCGCATCATCTCCTCCACACCCACGGCCATCGTCATGGTGGTCGGCTACGAGACGCTAAAGAAGCTGAGTTTGCGACCGGAGCTGGTGGACTCGAGACACTGGTAGACCTGCACAGACCTTATATGGACCACGTTTTAGCCCCGAGTTAGACTTCCTGTGAAAACACTGGATGAAAGAGAGGTTTATTTAAAACACCAACCTGGAATCAGGCCACTGAAACATTAATTACATAAGACATTGAACGTGTGTTCATACCAACATATTAGTTGCAGACCCAGGTTCACGTTTTATTCTGCTGCTTAACGGGGCGGATGCTTTTTAATGCAACTGAAAGCGGGTAACATGTTTTTAACGCGGGAACGATTCATTTGACACACTCTACAATCAGGTTGAAGCATATTTGCTGTGGATTAAAGTGGAATTGATGGTTACTGTGTTTGTGCTGTCACAAAGCAAAGCGGTGTTGGGCCCAGAACTGGTTTTGATCAGTGGTTCAGAGAAGTTAAGATGATGCATTCACGTCAGCGTAAACGCATCTTTGATTTCTCTGTTTGTTTCTTCCTCGCATGTCTAGAGCTTTTTGGCCTTTTTGTTTTTTAAATCGCTGCCTTCATAGTGTGATCAAGACAAACAATCTGCTCTTCGGTTTTGTTGAATGTGTGTGAGGAGAAAAGTAGGTGGTATACTTTTATTTATCATGACAGCCTCTGTGTTGTAGGTATATTCTACTGACCATTCACTAAGTCCCGCCCCTCGAACGCAGATTGGCCAATCATAGCGTAGCATCAACCAGCTCTGACAACTCTCCGTCTCTGCTCCTCAGACTCTCATAGATGGTTTCAGATGTTCCTCCTGTTCAGGCTGCTTTAGTGCATTCGGAGCTCGTCGTGGTTAAACGTTGTATAATAGAGATACTCGTTAGCTGGAGCGGTAGGGAGGAGATAAGGTTACGGTTCTACGTTAAAAACCTGTGGAGCTAACGTTAGCAGAGTACGTTAGCACATCATTGCTACGCTAGCTACTGAAGGTATACTGAATGTGCTTTAGCTTTTTGATGATTGTAACAGTGAATACTGAGGAACTCTAGTTTCATTGTCTTCTGTCTGGATCTCACTTTAACTCTGATCTTCAGCTTCTATCTTTATAACCTGTTTTCACTGTTAAATCAGTTTGACATCATGGTTATATCCATAAAACACATCCTGTAGATTCTCTTCTCAGCCTCTCTTTTCGTTTTTCCAAAAGTTAGATAATATATTCAGGAAGTGCCGTCAGTGACAGTGTGGGCTCCACGGTAACGCAGCTCTGACAGCTTGACGGAGTAGCAGCGAGGGGCGGGGCTTAAAGAAGGGTCCATTTACTGTTGTCGTGTACACTGCACAAACCAAGTCAAAACAAATGACTCGGCAACTTCCATGCAAAACAGTGTCTACGTACAGACGTAACATACTTGCATGTCTCTTCGACATTGTCGATCATATTTCAGTGAGTAAATGATTTGGTGAACCGGTAACTTCCAGAAGAGAAAGATGGAAGTGAGCTGATGCTGATGCTGTTTCCCTCTTGTGACGGTAAACGTTTGAGTGCAATAATGTGTTTAATCCTTTTCAGCACATGTGATTTGTGTATTTCTTGTCAATTGTGTAAATAATGTGTCTTAAAGGAATGCATTACGCCTAATTTATTCTCTTCATGTTTTTGGGGGATTATGACCACAGAAGTGTCCCAACTTTAAAAATGTCACATTATGTTAAAAGATGTTTCTTTAATGTGTTTAAGATGAATAATGTTGAGTATCGTGGCTCTTTCAGTTTGTTGCTTTTGTAACTAGGCTTTTTAGGAAAAAAGTGAAAATAAAATTTTATTAAGTTTGAAAATGAGATCTATTTAATATTCGATGTTGCACTTTGGGTATTTATCAGAGAAAGGGTGAATGTTTTACAGTGGACAGAATTAAGGGTGAATGTTTTAC